CAAACATATAGACCACTGTGATAGATTAGGGAGCCCAGAAATAACTCTTTACATATGTGCTCATTTGATTTCCTGCAAAGGTGCAATTCAATAGGGAAAGGACAGTCTTTTCAATAAATGGTGCTGGGAAAACTGGATATCCACATGTGAAAGAATGAAATTGGACTATAAAACTCTTAGAAGAAAACAGGGGAAACTTTTCATGACATTAAATTTAGCAATTATTTCACGGATATAACACCAAAAACATGAGGAACAAAAAATATAAATGAATTGGACTTCATCAAAATTAAGAACTTTTGTGCATCAAAGGATACTATCATGAAAGTGAAAGGACAACCTACACAATAGAAGAAAATATTTGCACATCACATCTCCAAGAAGGAATTAATATCCAGAATATGTAAAGAACTCCTGCAACTCAACAACAAAACAAAAAACCCAATTTAAAAATGGGCAAAGGACTTGAATAGATATTTCTCCAAAGAAGATACCCAAATGGCCAACACATGAAAAGATGCTCAACATCATTAGTCAATGGTGAAATGCAAATCACAACAACAATAAGATGCCACTTCACACCCTCTAGGTTGGCTATTTTTTAAAAAGGAAAATAGTATGTGTTGGTGAGGATGTGGACAAATTGGAACCCTTGTGCATTGCTAGTGAAAATGTAAAATAGTTCAGCTGCTCTGGAAAACAGTTCAGTTGTTTCTCAAAAGGTTAAACCTGTAACTACCATATAATCCAGCAATTGCACTTGTAGGTATAGATCTAAAAGAATTAAAGAAGGGACTGAAACAGATACTTGTATACAAATCATAGCAGCATTGTTCACAATAGCCAAAAGGTGGAAGTAACGCAAGGGTCCATCAACAGATGAATGGATAAACAATATATGGTATATACATACAATGGAATATTATTCTGCTTTAAAAAAAAGATAAATTTATGGCCCTGCAGTGGCTCACACCTGTAATCCCAACACTTTGGGAAGCTATGGTGGAAGGATCATTTGAGGCCAGGAGTTCAAGGCTCGCGACCAGCCTGGGCAACATAGGGAGACACTGTCTCTATTATTTTAAAAATATGAAGGAAGGCAAGAAATAAATTTTGATACATGCTACATCTACAGCCCTTGAAAACATTATTCTTAGTGAAATAGGCCAGAACGACAGATATTATATGATTCCACTTATATGAGGTACTTAGAATAGACAAATATATAGAGATAGAAAGTAGAATAGAGGTTATCAGGGTCTGGGGGGTGGGCAGAAGGGGGTGGTGTTGTTTAATTGATACAGAGTTTTTATCGGGGATGATGAGAAAGTTTTGGGTATTGATATTGTTCATGGTTGCACAGCATTGTGAATATATTTAATGACGCTGAATTGTACACTTGCAAATGGTTAAATGATAAATATTATGTATAGTTTACCATATTAAAAAAGTTTTCCAATTTAAAAAGAGATTCTAGTCACATTCTAAAAAATAATATCAGAAGATATTAATAATCAGAAGATATATAAATAATATCAGAAGATGAGAACACTGCACATAAGTTATAGAAAGTGTGCTTTGGGTTTTGTCTTGTTTTGTTTTTATTTTTATTTTGTTTATTTATTTTGAGACAGGGTCTTGCTCTGTCACCCAAGCTGGAGTGCAGTGGTGCGATCACAGCTCACTGCAGCCTTGACCTCCTAGGCTCCAGCAGTCCTCCCACCTCAGCCTCCCAAGTAGCTGGGACCACAGGCATGTACCACCATGCCCAGCTAATTTTTGTATTGTTTTGTAGAATCAGGGTTTCACTATGTTGTTCAGGCTGTTCTCAAACTGCTGAGCTCAAGCAGTCCACCCACCTCAGCCTTCCAGAGTGCTGGGATTATAGGCATGAGCCACCATTCCTGGCCCCTTGTCTTGTTTTGGAAAGTTATAAAGATAATGAGTATTTTCAGACATTTTCAAAAATGTGTAGATAGGCCAGACGCGGTGGCTCATGCCAGTAATCCCAACACTTTGGGAGGCTGAGACGGGTGGATCACTTGAACTCAGGAGTTTGAGACCAGTCAGGGCAACATGGTGAGACACCATCTCTACTAAAAATCCAAAAAAATATCTAAGCGTGATGATGCATGCCTTTGGTCCCAGCTAATCGGAGGCTGAGGTGGGAGGATCGATGCTTGAGCCTGGAGGGCAGAGGTTGCAGTGAGCCAAGATGGGGCCACTGCACTCCAGACTGGGTGACAGTGCGAGACAATGTCTGGGGAAAAAACAATGTAGATAAATATTATGTTAATTTTTTAAGATGGGGTCTCACCATATTGCCCAGGCTGGACTCAAACTGCTGGGCTAAAGCGATCCTCCATCTTCAGCCTCTGAGTAGAACTACAGGCATGTACCGCCATGCCTGGCTGATTACATTAAATTTTAATACTGAAAGATTATAGATTTTGTCTATAGCTTCCAAACTAATAGGGAGGATAGAAAAGAATTAAAACAAAACAAAACTTTACTAACACAATAGAAGGTAGGAAAAGAGGGTGGGGAAAGGCAAAGAAGAATGGATAATGGGAAAGACAAAATAAGATATCAGGTCAGAAATTAATCAGATACACTAAAAAGCTACTCATTAACATATAGTGACTGTAAGGTTGGGTAGAGAAGCAAAATCTAGCCACATGCTATTTACAAGAGATATACCCAAACAAAATGACCTAGAAGGGTTATTAAAGGCACAGAAACAGATATACCAGGAAAATACCGATCAAAATAAAGCTGGTATTGCAATATTATAATAAAAAATCAGACCCAAAGCCTGGAATTTAGAAAAATTAATAAGATATAGACTTTCAATATTTCCTGTGTGGCTAGCTTCAAAGATACATTCTACCTGGCATCACTTACCTGTCTTTCTTATCTTTCTAAATCAATTTCCACAAATATTTATGAGTAATTATGAGTTAGGTAATATAGTAGAGACAAAGATGAGTACAATCTGTGCTTACTTCATAGAACTGACAGTCTAATAGGGGAAAGTCCAGTAACTTTAAAACAAAGTAGCAAATTGTGTGCACTGTTAGAGAATTTTAAGCGAGATACAATGGAAATTGGGCATGGGAGATAAAATCAGGAAAAGACTCTACACAAAATTTGGCATTTGAGATAGTCTTTAAAAGCTATAACAAAGCTACAATTTCATTAGACCATGACCTAGACATCAGCTTTTCTCTCTTAGAATATGAAGCACGCTTTGGGACTACTTTGCTGGATAGCTTCATGAATTTAGGCTACAGTATTATCATTTCAGACTTCATTTGCTGGAAATGTAGCCTACTGCATTTACCTATAACAGCTCATTTCCTGTATTTTTTATTTTCCTTTGCTTAAGACAATAGCACTGCATGGTTAGGTTAACACTTTCGTTGCTTTTGAAAGCCCCTCTACTAACCTAATCTTTTGCCAGATGATGTCCTCATACTTCCTCAGGGTGTCTTAGAAGTAGATTTCTATGCTAGCTGTCCATTAAAGAAGAAGAGTATATAGTTTGCTTTTTCATAAAGTGCTGTTACTATTAACAGGAAGGAACTAACTTTATCCTAAATGAAAACATACTCTATATTAAAGACAAATTAGACTCTTTCCCATGAAGTTGGTCTGAGAGAAGGGAAACGGAATAGATGGCTCCTGAAATTTTTTCTTGTTCCATTCAGAGTCAGATTTTTTCCCCCGCTTTATATGGTCAACAAATGAAAATTGGCATTTGGAATTACCACCGTTCCCCCCATTGCTTGCCATCTTCAAATTTAATGTCTGCTTCTCCACAAAGATTAACATGTTTTCCGCTCATGATTTACGTGTCAGAGAATTTAGAAGTTTTCTGGAACCTGAAGTTTGCTCTGGTAGGGATGATTACTGGATAATTGCCTATTCTTCGGTGGAATTTCCATTTTTAGATTACACCAGACTCTACAGCCTTTATTTCTTTGGCAGGAAAACCCAAAGTCAATGGAGTATATTTTTTTCCCTTCCCTGGCCCAGCTTAAACAATGACTCACTTGGGCCCTGGGGCTTTGCTTCATACTCTCATTTAGGGGCCACTTTATACCCTTGTTTCTATTTTCCTTTCTTGTTCTGTTTGGACCCTTCATATCCTTTGGCACATGGGATTTGTCTCTGGGGTTATTGTCAGAGATATATAAAACCACCCCAAACTGGAACAGACACTCCAGTTATGTCCCCATAAGCCATGTTATCCTTATGGCAGCTGGTATAGGCCAGGGAGAGTACAGAAAGAATATCTTTTTTTTTTTTTTTTTTTTTTTGAGAATGAGTCTCACTCTATTGACCAGGCTGGAGTGCAGTGGCATGATCTCAGCTCACTGCAACCTCCACCTCCCAGGTTCAAGTGATTCTCCTGCCTCAGCCTCCCGAGTAGCTGGAATGACAGGCGCACACCACCATGCCCGGCTAATTTTTGTATTTTTAATAGAGACAGGGTTTCACCCTGTTGGCCAGGCTGGTCTCCAACTCCTGACCTCAAGTAATCCACCCACCTTGGCCTCCCAAAGTGCTGGGATTACAGGCATGAGCCACTGCGCCCAGCCCAGAAAGAATATCTTTAAGGAAACCTAATTCCAAATGGAGTGGAGGGAAAAGTATTCTCCAAAAAGGAAAATATGAGTGCCAGTGTCATCCAGTTAGAGACTAAAAGGCTTTCCTCCATATGCGATGCTCTAATGACTGATTTAGATGTCCTCTGTGTGTACCCGTGGAAGGTGGGAAGCACTCAGAGGAACTGGCCTCCAAGAGTTTTCGGAGAGATATGGTTATATGAAGAGACTTCCCCATAGAAGGGCTAGGTCTAACCTAGACTTCAGAGTTTTGTTGGGGAGAAAAATTCCCTCTTTTTGGCAGTGGTTCTCTCTGGTCTCAATTTTTCATTCTGATTCCAGCCTTCTGGATTCCATCTAACAATGATTTCTTGATTTTTCTCTTTGCAGTTTTAACAGCGTATGCCAGGGAACACACATTCTCTTTCGAGAATTCAGCTTCGTCCAAGCCACCCCCCACAATAGGGTATCATTTTTACGAGCCTTCTGGAGATGCTTCCGAACTGTGGGCAAAAATGGCGGTAAGTCTTCCCGAATCCTTCCTTCCTTCCTTCCTTCCCTCCTACCTTCCTTCCCTCTCTCTCTTTTTCTTTCTTTCTTTCTTTCTTTCTTTCTTTCTTTCTTTCTTTCTTTCTTTCTTTCTTTCTCTTCCTTTCTTCCTTTCTCTTTCTTTCTTTCTTTCTCTCTCTCTTTCAAACTTTTTCTTTTGTTGCTCTAAATATTGTTTGAATGCATGCTATTCAAGGTATTTAGAATACCTCACTTTTGAGGAGTTGTCTGGTTTATGTCAAAGATATTACTATTACCACTGCCATCACTAATGATACCTATTAAGAGCCAAGTGTAGCTCTTTACGTGTAGTAACTCGTTTATCTTTACAAGGGCTCTCTGTGGTAGATACTATAATCCCCATTTTGTAACTAACGAAACTGAGGATCAGAGAGGTTCAGTAACTTGGCAAGGTTACATAGTAAATTCTGGGCCCAGATTTACACCCAGGCAGTCTGACTCCACAGCCCTTGCTCCTGGCAGATATTAAAATGCCATGCAGTAAATACAAGGAATAATGTGAATACAAAGAAAGAAACTCCTGAATGGGGGTGGGATGGGGATACTGTTGTTAGAGGAGGGAGAGAAAAGTGGAGCAGAGAAGGTCCTCCTTAGAACTGGCTGTTTGATCTAAGCTGGGAAGGAAGAGTAGGAATCATTCACATGGATAAAGGAGAGAAGGGCATCCTAGGTAGAACATATGCTGAAGCACAAAAGAACCTGGAATACTTACGTAACAGGTCAGAATGTCTAGGGTCTGTGTGAAGTTTGTGAAGGAGGTTAGGGGAGATGAGACTGTGAAGGAATAACGGAGCTGCTGAAAGATCATTTTTTAGCCATATAAAAGAAATTGGGCCAGGCACAGTGGCTCAGCCTATAATCCCAGCACTTTTGGATGCCAAGGCAGGTGGATCCCTTGAGGTCAGGAGTTTGAAACCAACATGGTGAAACCCCGTCTCTACTAAAAATACAAAAGTTAGCCAAGTGTGGTGACACACTCCTATAATCTCAGCTATTCAGAAGGCTGAGAAACGAAAATCGTTTGAACCCTGGGGGACAGAGGTTGCTGTGAGCCGAGATTGTGCCACTGCAATCCAGCCTGGGCGACAGAGCATGACTCTGCCTCAGAAAAAAAAAAAAAAAGAAAAGAAAAGAAAAGAAAAGAAATTGGGGCTGGATGTGGTGGCTCACACCTGTAATCCCAGCATTTTGGGAGACCAAGGTAGGAAGATCACTTGAGCCCAGAAGTTTGAGACCAACCTGGGCAACATACTGAGACTTTGTCTCTACAAAAAAATAAACAAAATTAGCCAGGTGTGGTGGCACATACCTGTAGTCACAGTTACTTGGGAGGCTGAGGTAGGAGGATCACTTGAGCCAGGGGAGGTTGAGGCTACAGTGAGCCATGATTATGCCACTGACTCTAGCCTAGGTGACAGAGCGAGATCCTGCCTCAAAACAAACAAACAAACAAAAAAGTTAAATTTTATTCTCTGGGTGTTATTTGAAGGCTTTTTTTGGTTTTGCTTTTTTTTTTTAAGTCCCTGTTGCAACCAGGTGTGGTGGCTCACGCCTATAATCCCATCTCTTTGGGAGGCCATGGTGGGCGGATCACAAGGTCAGGAAATCGAGACCATCCTGGCTAACACAGTGAAACCCCATCTCTACTAAAAAATACAAAAAAATTAGCCGGGTGTGGTGGCAGGTGCCTGTAGTCCCAGCTACCCAGGAGGCTGCGGCAGGAGAATGGCGTGAACCCGGGAGGTGGAGCTTGCAGTGAGCCGAGATCATGCTACTACACTCCAGCCTGGGCGACAGAGCAAGACTCTGTCTCAAAAAAAAAAAAAGACCCCGTTGCCCAGGCTAGAGAGCAGTGGCTTGATCATAGTTCACTATAACCTTGAGCTTCCATGCTCAGGTGATCTTCCTAACTCAGCCTCCTAGCTAGCTAGGACTACAGGTCCATGCCCACCGTACCTAGCTAATTTTAAATGTTTTTGTAGAGACAGGGTTTTGCTATGTTGCCCAGGCTGGTCTCAAACTCCTGAACTCAAGGCCTCAGCCTCCCAAAGCACTGGGTTTACAGACGTGAGCCACCATGCCCCATCTTATTTGAAGGCTTTTAGATAGGAGAGTGGTGTGGTAATATCTGAGCTCTAGAAAGATCATTCAAAAGGCAGTGTAGAAGATGGTCTAGACTGGAGGCAAGGAACATAGAAGTCTGGTAGTAGTTGAGTGAGAGATTAGAGCCAACACTAAGGCAGTATGGAGATGGAAGGGGCGCTTTTAGAGATAGAATCCATAGGATTTGGTGATTGGATTTGGCATTAAGATGAGAGAGAAGACCAGTGGTAATTTCCAAGTTTTTGGCTTGGGCCACTGCCTAAGAATATTAGAATATTTTTTTAAAGCCTTCAAGTAATAGCTACAGAATAAATTTCAACTTTTTTTTTTATTTTTATTTTTGACAGGGTCTTACTCTGTCACCCAGGCTGGAATACAATGGCACAATCTCAGCTCACTGCAGCCTCGACCTTCCAAGCTCAGGTGATCCTCCCACCTCAAGTAGCTGGGAATATATTTGTGCACTACCATGTGTGGCTAATTTTTGTGTTTTTTATAGAGTTAGGGTTTCACCATGTTACCTAGTCTGGTCTCGAACTCCTGGGCTCAAGCCACTTGTCCACCTCAGCCTCCCAAAGTGCTGGGGTTATAGGCGTGCGCTACCATGCCTGGTCTCCTACTTTCATATTATGTGTTTTTTAAATACCTTTTAAAGGCAGTTGTTGCTTCGCTTGCTTTTGCTTGCTTTCTTTACTTTTCTTTCTTTCCCTCCCGTCCTCTCACCTCCCTCCTCTGCGCCTTCCTCCCTCCTTCCTTGCCTTCTTCCGTCTCGTCTCCTTCTCCTTTCCTCCCTCCTCCCTCCCTCCCTCCTCTTCTCTTCTCCCTTCGTTTCCTTCCCTCCCCTCCCCATCTGAGGTTATAGTAAGGAATAGGTAACTCTTGCTTTGAAGTTTAATGGAGAGTTCCGTCCGACGTATGCTCTAATCAATGCTACTGCTACAAAACTGTAAGTTTTCTAAATAGCTACTAAATATACAGCTATTAAACTTTTATATATAGTTACTAACTCTTTTCTAAAACTTTTCCACCCAATATCTTATTAGTTCCACTGTCCTAAGAAATAGGTAAAGTGGGTATTATTGTGCCCATTTTATAAATAATGAAATTGTGTAACTTGCAGAAACATTTCATGGTGGATTAGTATCAAAGCTAAAAATAGAACCCAGATTTACTAATATGCTGATGTGCTTTTTCTACTATTTTTACTTCAGTCATTGCCTCTTTGACATGTAACTCTGGAGATCATGCATCTCCATTACAGTATTATTAAAGAAGTACTTAGTGTACTGAGGATCGTATCATTTCCTTTACAGAATAAATGCACTAATAGGCAAAAACCAATGTGGACTCAATTTTAAGTGAAGCAACTCAGAAACACTATTCCATTGGTCTCTATATAAACAAAACTGGGAACTGTGAGTGTATAGGTAAAGCTTGTGCTATATTAACAGAGGTTGTCTTTCCCAGTCCCTTACTCAGTCAGCAAATATTTGTTGTAGACCACCTAGTACAGTCGTCTCTCAGTATATGCAGGGATTGGTTCCAGAACCCCCATTTATACCAAAATCCATGCATAATCAAGGCCTACATTAGTCCTGTGGAACTCTCATATGTGGAAAGTCAGTCTTCCGTATACAGGGCTTCATACCCCTAGAATAGTGTATTTTCGATCCATATTTGGTTGAAAAAAACCCCCCTAAAAGTGTAGATCTGCACAGCTGAAACCTGTGTTGTTCAAGGGTCAGCTGTATATTGAAGAATATGGCTAGATCTAGTTTCTGTGAGACAACATATGAAGATAACTATGGAAAACAGTTTTCAGATAGCCTTAACTTTTTTCCTGATACAGAAGTGGGGCCTCTTCAAGAATGTATTTACTATCACAAGGGATTCATGTAGCATTTGGACTCTTAGCAGATGTAGGTTTCTTTATCTTTCTAATAGCAGCTGCCAGTGACTCATCCAGCTGCTAAGAATAAGCAGCTCCAAATTGCCTGTTTCTCCTTGTGCCATAAACAAACACAAAACATAGATTTTATGCTGGCTGTTTATTGTTATGCTTCTTCTTTTTTTTTTTTTTTTTGAGACAGAGTCTCGCTCTGTTGCCCAGGCTGGAGTGCAGCGGCGCGATCTCGGCTCACTACAAGTTCTACCTCCTGGGTTCACGCCATTCGCCTGCCTCAGCCTCCCAAGTAGCTGGGACTACAGGTGCCCGCCACCATGCCCGGCTAATTTTTGTATTTTTAGTAGAGACGGGGTTTCACTTTGTTACCCAGGATGGTCTGGATCTCCTGACTTTGTGATCCACCAGCCTGGGCCTCTCAAAGTGCTGGGATTACAGGCGTGAGCCACCATGCCCGGCCTATTGTTATGCTTCTTAGTCAGACAGCCTCAGACTTCTTAGACTAAATGCAACATCGGTGTCTAGGTGATCCTAAAATAATTGGTTAAGTAGCTTTAATATATTCTCAGCTTTTTCTAGGAAACTTCAGAACATCTTTCTAAACCGGAATGTGTCAATCTCCAATTTTAATCCAGAATGAGTGAAAGCTCTTGGAGGCAAGATTCTAAAGGAAAGGATTTATTAAGCCCCATTTTATCAATTATAATGCCAGGTACCTGCCTACTGAGTGGAACTCCTACTGCATTGTTCTTCTGCAGATAACTTCCTTAGAATGTCATGTGCATACTTGAGCATGATCAAGTGGAAACTAACTCTTCTGGGAGGTAGCAAAAGAAGAGCATACGTATCTAAAAACGAAGCCACTTGTAGAAATCTAAGGACCTGGTCCCTTTTGACAAAAAATATTTTATTCCAGTTTTTAGCAAGTACGGGGGTATAATATCA